CCCCCCCCGCCTTTCCCGTTCCGTCCCTCCCCACAAAGGCAGTTTGTGTGTCCCGGGAGCCGCGCGGTGTGAGCGGGGAGGGCGGTAGGAAGGGCCGGGCCCCGGGCGGGTTGAGCGGCTGCGGCGGACAAAGGGGTGTTGAGGGGGGGTTGGGCTCCCGGGGGGTTCCCAGCGGGGGTTGGGAGCAGAGGGCGGCGGGGAGGGTGTGAGAGGAACGACGGGGTAACGAGGGATCTTGGAAAACTGGATTTGGGGAACTGGTAGATCAAGGCTGCAGCTAGACCGGTGTGTTTGGCAGCAGCTGCTGGGCCTCCTGCTCTTGAGCACCTTTGCAGAGCTGTTTTTTGCCTCCACGGGTGCCTGTGGCACCAGTTTCTAGTGTTTTATCACGCTGCTTTTTCCGGGATTATGAAATTGACATAATCTTAATTCCCAGCCTTATCTCCAGAAACAAAGATTAGCGTGTGCAATGGAGGAGGTTTTAGTCATCTAACAAATACTCCAGTAGAGCAAACCAGGGTGTGATGTAGTTGGCTCTTAATTCAGTTGAGCACTCACAGCGTTGTAAATATATTTATAAAGGCTAATTGTGTGTATTTTTTTAAAAAACAACCCTTCAGCAGCCTTTGATGATGCAGTGGAAGAACGTGTGATTAATGAAGAGTATAAAATATGGAAAAAGAATACCCCCTTCTTATATGATCTTGTCATGACCCATGCTCTGGAATGGCCCAGCTTGACTGCTCAGTGGCTTCCTGATGTGACAAGGTAAGCTGATCCTTTTCCATCTTTCTTTTGTTTTGTTTTTAAAGCCGAATAAATGGTAAATCTAGAATAACATCTTCTCCAAAGCTTCCATAACCATCATGGTCCTCAGAGTTGTCCTGGGGAGGACCTGCTAAGGTCTCTTAGAGGAACACAGGGGAGTGTTGGGCTGCCAGAGTGTTCTGCTGCCCGAATTTTAGGTTGAGATCATCAGTTATGACAAGAGATTGATTTCCTCTGGAGGAAGAGAGTTTGGTGTTGGAGCAGGAGAGCGACAATGACTTTAATGAGTGTTATTAGAATCATAGAGGTTGGAAGGGACCTCAAGGATCATCTGGTCCAGCCTTTTTAGGTACTACTCCAGTTTATGTGTGGTGGTTCAGCACCCTGTCAAGCTGAGACTTAAAGCTGTCCAGTGTGGGGGAATCCACCACTTCCCCTGGGAGACTGTTCCAATGTTGGACTGTCCTCATGGTGAAAAATTTACCTCATGTGTCCCATTGGAATCTCCCCAGGAGCAACTTGTGCCCATCACCCCTTGTCTTTTCAATGAGACTCCCTGAGAACAGGGAGTCTCCACCTTCTTGGCAGCCACCCTTGAAGTACTGGAGCAACAAAGGCACCTCTGAGCCTTTTCTCACTGGACACTCATCAAAAAAACCCACTGTAATCAGCTCACTCTTTGTAAACTCGTTGTGTTTCTCTTGTGACTCTTCCCTTGCAGACCTGAAGGCAAAGATTTCAGCATCCACAGGTTGGTGCTGGGGACCCACACCTCAGATGAGCAGAACCACCTGGTGATTGCCAGTGTGCAGCTTCCCAACGATGATGCTCAGTTTGATGCTTCACACTATGACAGTGAGAAGGGAGGTAAGAAACCAGGGATGTGCCTCTTAACCACTTCTTCCTGCCTTAGCAGAAATGTTTGCCTCAAAATTCAGGCAGCAAAGTTCAGGTGCTGCTTCTGAAGTGATCAGTTTATTTCTCATTGGTGCCCTTATTTGTAAACAAACATTGTGATTATTATTGTGTTTAATCTCATTGTAATATCATGATGGGGGGAAAAAAAAGTGGCAGGTTTATTGCAACAGTGTTGGGAAAACCTCACCCCTCCCTATTTCTCATCAGGAACTGACACTGGATTTCCTGGTACAGTGCTTATAGGTATTTTTCTTACTACTTTTCCATTACATAAACTCCTCCAGTGAGAATTGCACTCAAGGAAAATAATATTATCTTGCCCCAGCCCCTTGGGGCATTAAAAAAAAAAGCAGATTGTGTTTTGTTTGGTGGATCAGACTTGAGTTGGATGGTTCCTGCAACCTCACTTGGCTGTCAGCATGGCTGAAGGTCATTTCTCATTTTCACTTGGTTGAATTAATCTTTCTACATGCTGAAAGTCCTTAATGATCCAAGGTTTGCTTCTCTTTTTGCCTGAACCCTGGATTGTGCACTTAGATTTTTTGATCCTTGTGCTTCTCATGAACACAGGGTTGCTTCATAAATACTTTCTATTCTATGTTATGTCTCCTATTCAAAACAAAACCAAGTTGGCTAGAACTGTGCAAGTTTGTGAAATGCCAAGTTCCTGTGGCTTCATAAGATAAAGTAACTTTACCAAGTTATGCTGTAGTCCCACCTCTTAAATGTGGTGCAGCAGTTTATTTCTACCAGCACTTTGTCTGTTGTGCAATGCTGAATTTTGTTTGTGTTTAAAAGTCCAGTTCTAGCCCATCTCTTTGAAACGTACAACACATCTTCATTACAGATAGAAGAGTTTTTACATGTTATAAATTTGGGCTTTTGTTAAATTTGAAATAGCAAAAAAAAAAAAAAATTCAGGAAAAAATGGTCTTTAACTTGGCCCAAATCCAGATGTTTTGGTGTTAGGAATACAGATGTTTTAAAGCAACACTGGAAAACTGGGATCCTTCAGTGACAGTTGTTCTTGTGACTGTTTTGCAAAAGAAGTGCTTGGCAGTACCAGCCCTTGAGTCTTTGTGTCTTGCTCTGAAACAGGCTTATTATTTACAATGTTGTAAATTCCTACTTTCAGAGTTTGGAGGCTTTGGATCAGTCAGTGGAAAAATTGAAATTGAAATCAAGATAAACCACGAGGGAGAAGTGAACAGAGCCCGTTACATGCCCCAGAACCCGTGTATCATTGCTACCAAGACCCCATCCAGTGATGTCCTTGTCTTTGATTACACCAAACATCCTTCTAAACCAGGTGGCTGCTGCTTTCTTAATGTCTGTGCTCCAGAGATCCTTGAGAAGTCCTGATACAGTGAAAAAGAGGCTAAGATGTTTTGTAGATTGCATGTCCTTGGTGATTTTAGACACAAGTGGGTAAAAGTTGATGTTATGTTGAAGTTGAAACGTGTTCAGTATGTGTGGATAGAAAAGCAGGCTTTGCTTTTGATGTTTTAGTGCATGTTTTGTCATGTGGTGGTGTTTGAGCTGGATGAATTGCTGGGTAGTTGAGCTGCTGTCCTGATGCTCTATAGGAATATTGTCATTTCTGGCTGAGCTCATCAAGATTTTAAGAAGAATAACTAGTTTTGCCCCCTGTGGGGAGGATCAGAAGTAACATTCTCACTTTCAAAGTGCAGTTGGAAATCATGAGAGGAAGAAAAATACCACAAGTCCTACAGCACTAATTTAGGATGGGCCATTGCTTGGTCATCCTGGTCAAACCCTTACAAATAGCAGCTTGGGAAAACCTGCAGTGGGCTTTTATGGAGCTAAAGAGACAAATAGCTCAGTGTTGTCTCTCTGCTTTGTCTTTGAATGAGGTGATTCTTCAGCTGGGCAAGATGCTTAAGTGATAGAGAGGGATCCTGTAGAAAATGCCAGAGCAAAGCTCAGTAGAACTTAATGCCAGGTATTCCAGGATGCACTGGAAGTGATTCTAGGCACTGGAGTTCTTATGTCAGCTCTTTACAGACCCTTCTGGAGAGTGTAACCCTGACCTGCGTCTTCGTGGGCACCAGAAGGAAGGTTATGGGCTGTCGTGGAACCCAAACCTGAGTGGGCATCTGCTTAGTGCTTCTGATGATCATGTGAGTGTTTTAAATAGGGCTGGGGTACAAGTTGCACCTTGTGTCCCTTGGCCAAGGTCAAATGTGTTGGGGTTTGGTTGTTTTTTGAGGGAGAGGAGGTAGGGGAGGTGAAGAGTGTCTAAAGATGCAGTTTTAAATTACTGTTCTTCTTTTCAAGACCATTTGCCTGTGGGATATTAGTGCTGTTCCAAAAGAAGGCAAAGTGGTGGATGCAAAGACCATCTTCACAGGACATACAGCAGTGGTGGAGGATGTATCCTGGCACCTGCTCCATGAATCTCTCTTTGGCTCTGTTGCTGATGATCAGAAGCTCATGATGTAAGTGGGGTGATGTCTTCAGGAGCTGAGGGCTCCCTAGTCCCTCAGGAAAACGGGGTGGAAACCTGTGCTTCAATTCCATGTGTTCCCCTGCAGCTGGGATACTCGGTCAAACAACACCTCCAAACCCAGTCATTCTGTGGATGCTCACACAGCTGAAGTCAACTGCCTCTCTTTCAACCCCTACAGTGAGTTCATCCTGGCCACAGGATCAGCTGATAAGGTACATCTGCCTTCAACTTGGAACATATTTGCTTAGTTTCTAGCATGTAAATGTGGATATTTATGTTACTTCCACAAACCATGTTTTAATGTTTGGTTTTTTCTAGACTGTAGCTCTGTGGGACTTGAGGAACCTGAAACTGAAGTTGCACTCTTTTGAATCACACAAAGATGAAATATTTCAGGTATAACAAAGTATCTTTATCCTTCATGCACCTAGACTTAGTTCTACTTAGCTGTCTGGAAAAAAGGAAAATCATTCTTTCCCACTCTACCTGTTAATTAAATACACTTGCACTTAAAAACACATACATTCATTTCTTTCATCTGCTTATAATTGTCTGGCTTATTGCTGGGAGCTGTTCAGGGCTCTGTGTGGGGCACAGGGTAGAGAAGAGTGTCCAGAAGCCAGGCACAGAATGGAACAAGGAGAGGTTGGAAGTTTTAACCCCTCACAGAAGGGTGAAATGCTGGTTTTGCAGGATAAATATCAATTATTCATGGCAGCAGCTTGAGGCAGGGAGGCACAGTGGGATGGTTTTCATCCCCTTGGTCCTGTAGGAAGGCTTTGGCTGGTGCCCATTAAAGGACATTAAGGGAACATATTGTGACAAGGAACAATTGTTAATTTTGCTGGAGTAAATATGGAATTTTCCCATGATATGCAGCACGTGCTCAGATACAATATTTCCCCTTCCAACCCCTTCATTACTTGGAAGAAAAATATGCAGAGTTGCTTTTTTTTTTATTTTGGTGGAAGGATTACAAGTTAAGACTGTAGCCATCTCTAAAGAAAATTACACATGGAATCTTGAAATGTCAGGCTGGATGTGGAATGATGTGTTCCTTTCTAATCCTGTGATCCTATTAAGGGGTGTGTTTTGGGGAGTTTTACCTCCAGCAGGAGAAGGAAATGGGAGCTTTTTGGCAGCTCAGCTGTATGAGAGTGATTTCTTTCCACGTGTGAACCATGCCTAGTGCTTAAGGAACCCTTAATTGATATTTGTGCAGTCCTTATTGGCTGCTCTTTACTTCAATATCCTTGAGAGATGTTTGCACTCCCTGACTCCTGGTCTGTGTAGAAGGAAGGGTCACAAGTGGCACCTTTTAGGTGCTCAGTGCTCACAAACCCACCTCCTGGGCTAGAACATTATTATTGGGCATATTAATATTTAAATGAGAGTTCTCAGAGTTTTTGTGATGCAAAACACAGCGGTGGTGAATGTCTGTCATCCTCCAGCTTCCTCAAACTAACTTCCTTTCCAAACCCACCCTTATCTGCAGGTCCAGTGGTCACCCCATAATGAGACTATTTTGGCCTCCAGTGGCACCGACCGCAGGCTAAACGTGTGGGACTTGAGGTAAACCCCAAATGAGTCACCTGGTCCTGACAAAATGTTCCTGATGAATTGCATCACACCCCAAAACCCAACCAAACCAACCCCCAACTTCTCATCTTCCCTCTTTTTTTTTTTTTTTTTTTTTTTTTTTTTTTTTCCAGTAAAATTGGGGAAGAGCAATCCCCTGAAGATGCTGAGGATGGTCCCCCCGAGCTCTTGGTAAGTCCTTTGGAATCTCCTTGAGGGTTTTGATGGATTATTCATCTCTGGTTTGCAGATTTGGAAACATGCTCCTTTTTTTCATTCCCCAACACCAGTTCATCCATGGTGGTCATACTGCAAAGATATCTGATTTCTCCTGGAATCCCAACGAGCCCTGGGTAATTTGTTCTGTATCAGAAGACAATATCATGCAAGTCTGGCAGATGGTAAGTTGGTTGGGGAGGTGCAGGAAGTGGCAGGTGAGAGATGGTGTTGGAACTGCCTGGATTCCAGCATTCCTGGTTTTATTTACAGCTCTCAGCACGACTTGCTTTGTAGCACTGCCTAAATCTCCAAGGGACAGTGAAATCCTCCTTAGGTTTGGTCAAAACACTGGTTTACAAACTCTCAGAAGCTGGTTTGCTTCTCAGTACTTAAAAGAAAAAGGAAAGTGTTGGGGCAGAAGCAATTTTTCCCTTCTGTGTTTGAATGAGAAGAGCCCGTGTGTGAGAACCAGAGCTGAAACTGGGGTTTCTGTTAGTTGTTGTCTTCAAGAATGAAATATTTGCAAATAATAAGTGTCCTCATGAGGGTGGGGGGGTGAACAGGAAACGTTTGTTGGCCCTAGATTACCAAGTGTTGAAGGTTTTGGGTAACAAATTTGTGTTTGAATAACCTTGGACAAGACCAGTCTCCTAATTTTTATCTACAGATGGGTTCACAGGGGCTTTATTCTTAGAGCAGCCTTCACTGAGTTCTTTTGGAAGGTGTTGCTGCAAAGTAGATTTACTAAGTGCTTGCACAAGAGTGTTAATTCCACCAGGTCTGGCAGTGGGTTCTGTTTTTAGGAGGCAGATTCCATGAGCTAAAATAATCTACAGGATACTTGTGGAACATTTTGGAGATGTGGTGTGGAAAAAGGTAGTTTTAGGTTGCTGGTTTAATGTTAAACTGCCCTGAGGGATCAGGGCTGGGGGATAGATCCTGCAGATGAAGAAGTGCCACAGGTTTTTGAAGCGTTCCAGCAGATGGAATCCTCTTCAGGGTGGTGGTAAATGCTTCTTCAGTTCCTCCATTTCTTGTCTTGCAGGCAGAGAACATCTACAATGATGAAGACCCTGAAGGAAGTGTGGATCCAGAAGGTCAAGGATCCTAGATGACAACCTTTTCCTGTTTTTAGTCTTTTTTCCTTCTCTTCCCTCTCAACCCTGATATTGACTTAACACTGGTTTTGAGACACACGTAGACTTTGTGTTCAGCCATCCTTCTGTAGATACCACCACCAGGCTTCTTAACCCAGCCCAGTAATCCCTAAGGAAAGGGCTCAGCTCCTTATTCAGATTCCCTGCAGCCACCTCTTGCTCTGGGGCTTGGCTGCCCTGTTTCAGCTGCCTCCATCACACGGAGCAAACTTGGTTTTGTTGTTGTTTCTTCTTCTGTCTTTACCTTGCTTACAGCTACAGCCTTTTGCTTAATTTAAAGGACAGTTAGTGGTGGAACTGCCAGGGAAAGTGTGAGCAGACGGGGATGGATCCAAGTGTTAATCCTCTGGCAGTTCAGAAATGGAGTGTGAAAGATCTTCAGTGCAACTCAGAAGTCTTGGGATTCCTTTAGTTAATCTGTACTTTGTGGATTTTTGTGCCTCTGCAGATGCAGAACAGTCTTGCAGATTCTGACTTGAACTGAAATTAAATTTCTTTCTATTTTTTTTTGGTGTCTACTGGTAATTCTGGGTTTTCCATTCCTTCCTTTCCCCTTTCTCCCACCTGCTGGGTGACAGCAGTTTGGGTTCTTTAGCTGTTCCTGCAGAGCATTGTTCACCTCCCACATATTTTGCTCTATTGTGTGTTTCTTGAGCTGTGTTTTCACATCAATTTCTTTCCTTTCTGTGAAATGGTTTTTAAAACTTGGGGCCACCAAGTTGTAAAGGTCTATGTTTTTACCAGCTACTGCACCACAGATGGCAAGTCTGGTCACCTAGGACAGGGTTGGTAGCTGGTGTCTGTAAAGCATATGAAACGTGGATGAACTGCTTTTTTTAGGAGTTAGTCCTTGACCACTTGTTCCTGCACATCTTCCACTAGGGTGTCCTGTTCCACCAGCAACTCTCCGTGCTCCTCATGACTAACTGTGTGTAAGTGCTTCAGATGGAATAAATTTTTCTACGTAAAGGCCCTGGAGCTCTGTGAGTTTTGTCTGGTTCTCTGATCAGGATGGGCAGAGGAGCTGGAGGACCTGCCAGAGGAGGAGAGGCTGAGAGCTGGGTTGGTTCAGCCTTGAGGAAAGGAGGCTTCAGAGACCTTATCAGCATGAACCAGGTGGCTGCTGAGAAGGTGGAGACTCCCTCTTCACAAGGAGTCACGTGGAAAAGACAAGGGTTGATGGGCACAAGTTGCTCCTGGGGAGATTCCAATGGGACATGAGGTAAATTTTTCACCATGAGGACAAACATTGGAACAGTCTCCCAGGGCAAGTGGTGGATTCCCCCACATTGGACATTTTTCAGCTGAAGAAGGTGCTGAGCCACCTCATATAAAGTAGAGTAGTACCTAGAGAGGTTGGACCAGATGATCCTTGTCCCTTCCATCCTGTGATTCCATGATTCTGCAGGAACTGCTTTAAGAAGAGTGAAGTGCAGGAAGCAGAGGAGGGAAGGGAAGGGTCTGTACTTGTTTGTGTCCTGTGAGAGCAGGTGCTGGTGTGGATATTCCTTGGTTTTAACACATGGGTGCTTCTCCCCCCTCTTGTTCCTGCTTTCCTTGTGCAGTGAGTCCATCTCCTGAGGCAGGATTTCACTGATCCCTGCCTTGCACCCTCCCCTGCTGCTCCCTGGGTTTTGGGGCTGCCTTTAGCCCTTACCACAGAATTGTCTTTTTTGTTAGTCTGCAGCACAGTCAGAACAAGCACCTTGGTTTGACACAGCATCACAGAGTGGTGGGGTTGGAAGGGACCTCAGGAGGATCAGGATCACCTAGAGCAGATCCCACAGGAACATGTCCAGGTGGGTCTGGAACATCTGGGGATAGAGAAACACACACACGTGTTCTATTTCAGACACAGCTTTGAGAGCTACAAAGATCCTTGAACTCTGACTTTTATTTTCAGTGTGAGACTAAATAAAGTGGAAACCTCCACAAACTAGTTTCTGTGGCCCAGGTGGGAGCGTGTCCTGATACAGCAGAGACCCTTGGAATACAAAAGAAAACCCTGTTAAAAGGATGAAGCTTCTCTTGCCTGTAAACTTGAACAAAAAAATCAATCCCTCCTGACTGGCTTCCAGAACAATCCTTTCAGTGCAGGTTTAGATGATCCACCCGTGGAACAAGACAAGGTACATTTCCCAAACACAGCAGAACATACACCAGTCACACCCCCTCTGTGGCTGTTGCTCAGTGCAAGTAGAATTTTTCTGCTCCTCTGTGGAAAAACAGTTTTACTACACAATTGCCAGCAGCACCTGGAGAAACACATGCAGGAAAATGCTGGTCTGGGATTCCTGACTCCAGGAGCTGCTGGGGCATCAGGCAGGATAAGCAGCAAGAGATGTCCCCTGCAGGTGCCTCTTCTTTATTTTTGCTACAGTGAGGAAAAGTCCATCCTGTTCCTAACACTCCTGCTCTGCTTTTTCTTCTGACTTGCAAAGGTGGCCGTAGATTTCTAAGCAGCCCCTGTAGGGGTAGAAAGTAAATTTAGACTGTTAAATATTTACATCAAGTGGAGAAAATGAAGAAAGGGGACAGGCTATTTCTGGAAAACATTCTTTCTTTTCACAGTATGGAACAAAAGTAATGAGGAAACACTTAAACTGGCTCGGGATGGGGTCTTGTGAGTGTGCAGACCTTGCCCAGCCCTTCCAGAGCCTTTGGCAAGCAAACCAGCTCTACCAGCAGGGAATGTGTGGTGTGAGCCAGGGGGGATGCAGCTCCCAGCTGAGCTTAACCCTGAGGTCCTCGGTGCAAATGGGAGCTGTGGTGAGGTGTCCTGGCAAGAAATCACCTCCAGGGACAGCAGGATGTAGGTGGCCAGGGCTTAGGAGGCCACACTGCTTCACCCAGGCTTCAATACTCATCTGTGATTTAGAAGGACCCCAAGCAGTAAAGACCTGGGGTTGGTGGGATCTGGTCTGAACCATAAATGTAAATCAACTCATTAAAACATCTTGGAATGGCTGGTGGTGTGAGAGGCTGGAATAAATCTCCCCTCTGCTTGCCAGGCTGAAGCCTTACCTGGACAAAAGGAAAACTACACCTGTTTGTGGGAGGGGGTGGGAGGGTTGAGTGGAGAAGTGGGAAACAAAATGCTAAAAAAAACCAGTGAAGCTACAGAAAATCATGAAGGGTGTGTTCAGCTGAGACTGGGTGACATGTAACAGCTTGGTGAGTAAGAGAGTCCACAGACTTAGGGGCATTTTCTGGAGTTTTGAAAAATCCTGTGCTACAAAGAAGATCCGAGTGGAACCAGCAGTAGAGGGTGATAAGCAGAAGATAAAATCTCTCTCACTGAGGAGCATCCACAGTGCTGTGTCTCAAACCTAAACCTCAGCTCCTTTCCACAGATTCCTAAGGAAACCAGCACTTCCAGTTGCCATGCCAGCTTCCTGGAAAGCAACTTCCCCTCCTCATGTACTGGAATGTCCACCAAACCCCTGTGTGCTGGATGACAAAAGGTCTGGAGTTCCCACTGTGCTGCCCCACCAGACCCCTTGCTCACACGTGGGACCAGGAGAAAAAGCCCACAGTGTCCCATAGCTGTGTGACCACCAGCCTGTCCTCTCCATCATCCTCCTCTTCCTCCCAGCCCCTCCCCAGCCCCTCTGTGTCATGGGGATGAGACACAAACGGACTTGTAGATGGAGAGCTCCCTGTGGAGGCTGGTCCTCAGCTCCTCCAGCTCCTGATTCTTGCGCTGCTGGAGCTGGACCCCGTTCTTCAGCTCCTTCAGCCTGTCTTCCAGCTCCTCAACCTGTTCCTGGGGAGTGAGAAGACAAGAGTGGATGAGCTGGGGGGTGGAAGGCTGTCTCAGTGCCCACTCTCTTGTGGGGGGGATCTGCCTGTCTGTGGTGTTGGAAGCTTGGGCTGGGTTGTGATGTGTTAGGTCCTTATGTTTCTCTTGGCTTTTGTTCCCTAGACTGCTCTGTGTGTGTTTGGAGAAGCTGTCAGGACTGTATAAACCCACGGGTCAGGAGAAGATAAAAAAGGAATTTGTGAAAAAGAAAATGTAGAGGCACCTCAGGGATGCCCCAAAGTTCTGTTCTCCAAGGCAGAGTGGACCCCAAGACCCAAGAGGAGCAGTGTCATGGGTGCTGGGAACATCAGCTTCTAGAAAGTGCTCAGCGGGGATGGGAGGAGGCAGCGACTGGAGGCCAAGAACAGGGAGTGTTGAAAGGGAGGAGATTAATTGTGGAGCCTCTTTGCCAAATGTGCTCTTGTAGATATTGAATTGCCTCATCCCTCGGGACAAGGTGCTGGGTGGGGGGGATGCCTGGAGCAGGCAGAAATAGCCCTTGGGAGGCAGCCCAGCCCCTGGGCTGTGGACACAGGGGGTGAGAACCTTCCTGGCAGTGGGAAGGGCAGGATCAGGTGGGGCTGTTTCTATGGGGCAGGTTGAAACCAAGTGAGAAAATAACCAGGAGAAACCTTTTTTCCCAGCAGCTCATTGGGTGAAGCACTTTCCCACCACATCCCTGTAACCTCAGGTTTCCTTGTGCCCAGGAGCTGCTGCCTCATCCGGCCCATGCCAGGGTGGGGGATCCTTTTGATTCCAACCATCAGGAGATATTCCACCTCCATCCCTCCACCCTGCATCCCTCCCCTTGTCCCTACCAGCAAGCCCTTCAGCATCCACATTCCTGCAAGGAATGCCTCAAGAAGAGAGTGTGAGGGGTGCCTGGCTGGGGCACGTACCCGGTACTGCCCGACCTCTTCATCCCGCTTCTGCTTCACCAGGACAATCTGCTCCTCCAGGCTCCGGTTCTGCAGCCGCAGCCTGCTGACCTCCCCCTGCAAGGGCCTCAGGGCTTCCTTCATCCCCTGGATCTCCCCCTGCATCTCCTGCAGTGCCTTGGCCCCTGCCTCTCCTCTCTC